AGAGAGAGAGAGAGAGAGAGAGAGAGAGAGAGAGAGAGAGAGAGAGATAGACAGACAGTGACAGAGAGAGATAGAGAGAGAGAGAGAGAGAGAGAGAGAGAGAGAGAGAGAGAGAGAGAGAGAGAGAGAGAGAGAGAGGAGAGAGAGAGAGAGAGAGAGAGAGAGAGATAGACAGACAGTGACAGAGAGAGAGAGAGAGAGAGAGATAGACAGACAGTGACAGAGAGAGAGAGAGAGAGAGAGAGAGAGAGAGAGAGAGAGAGAGAGAGAGAGAGAGAGAGAGAGAGAGAGAGAGAGAGAGAGAGAGACAGACAGACAGAGAGAAGAGAGAGAGAGAGAGAGAGAGAGAGAGAGAGAGAGAGAGAGAGAGAGAGAGAGAGAGAGAGAGAGAGAGAGAGAGAGAGAGAGAGAGAGAGAGAGAGAGAGAGAGAGACAGACAGAGAGAGACAGACAGACAGAGAGAGATATTCCCCCCCGTAGTCATTACCGAGCACATCCCCGGAGAGATTCCGCCTCCCTTAACGTGACAACAAATTCAGGGTTGGTAATAACTGCATCTAGACAAGCAGCAGCCGCCGCAGTTTGCAAGCTAATGGCCTCTCAGGTCTCCTGATTTGATCAGACTTTAATTATTTGTTTTTCTCCAGCGGAATCCCATTTGTTTGTTTACGCTTTCTCTTGCGGTAGAAAACTTGAACATCGCGAAGGGAATATTTCAGAGTAAATAGGAAGCCTAGGTTCTCCAGGCAAGGGGGATCAACCGTTCGGTAATTGCCTTTAAGTCCCCTTTAATCCTTAATAGTATTAAAGATTAAAGCAAACTGGTGTATTTACTCTCAAAAAAAATACTTTATATAAATATTTGGGTGGAGCACAATATTATAATTATTGTAATTCTGCAGCGGATTGTATTGTGTTTAGTTAGGCTTGTAATTCGCTGGAGGGATATTAAGGCCACTATAAGACCTTACTGGCCAAGTGTTAAGTATACTTTAGTCCTGAACAGTCCAGAGCTAAAGTAACCACTAAATAAGTGTATACACTTATACACTTATTGGGGTATTTATCCTCTCTCTACACACTGTATGTCTAAATTGCATTTTCGTTGGTCAAAACTGTTCAGTAAATTGAAAAGTCTCCATAAAACCTTATCACGAGATAATTATTTTATTATTTGACTATTTTTGTCAAATTAAACATATTATTTCGCTGAGGGGAAATGATATGCAGGCGCCATGTTGGACTGAGTGTGGAGGATAACGGAATATGAGGCGTCCCTGTTGCTCCCCTAACCGCTAGGCTGCTCTCTGAAGCCACAATTTGCACGTTAATTGAGTGCGTTTCTCCTGCAGATGTCTTTTGACTTTATAAGAGTCCATGGCGGTGTTCCTTGTTATTGACGAAATAAATTGTGAATTCAATCTGGAAAATATTTACCTCTATTGGCTTATTTTTATTTGCTCATTGGGATACATGGAAACAACAGCAGCATTTGTAAGGTAATTCGGGTCTAGGGTTTCTTCCCCTCGCCCTCTTCACCACAGTCCTGAGAACTGCGGTGATTGCTGACCGGTTGGCTCCATGTTTACTAAACGTCCAACGTTCCCAAATGTTGTTTTCAGGTCTTTAGAATACAATTATCAGAGCTGGGGTTGTGATGCGCCTTTTGGTAGAAGGTGGATATTTGAGGAGACTCGTGTGTTGTTGATTTGGTCTTGGGAGAAGGGAAGTGTGTATTGTGTTAGGTCTCTGGTGTAAGTGTGGCAGTGAGTTACGGTAAACACTTGGAAAAACACCCAATTTTTTAGGGTTTTCACACCCCCCATCAGGGAGCCACTGGTGCCGCAGGGAGCCCCATGATGCCGCAAGTAACTCTCCCAACCTCCGGTGCGGCTGGGAAGCCATCATAAGCCATACATGTTTGGCTGTGGAGGATGGAGGTCACCGAGTGCCAGACTATGGTAGTGAGGATGTCACGGGTGATGGACATCACTTGTGGACAAGTTCTACACTCAGTGATGTCGTTATGACGTGGTGGAGTAGGTGACCTGCGTGTGTTGATGTAGTCTTCCTGACACCGCAGACATACTGATGCAGCGGACGGAACAACGACGGGAAGACTTGTGAGAAAGTTTGAAAGAGGTCCCCTAAGGTGCTGCTGACGGTGGGACTCAAAAACACAAATTGTGTAAGTGTTTACACGTGACTGAGGTTACACCTTGCAGCCTCTACCCTGGCCTACACCCACGCCTACACCCTCTACCTTGTTATTATATGGAGCCAGTACACACGACTTGATGTTCTGCACCTACCCATCTCTTCCCTCCCTCTTCTACCTTACTTTCGTCCTTCCCTCTCCTGCCTTCCCTTGATCTCTCCTTCCTTGCCTTCTATCTCCCCTCCCTCCCCCATCCTGTCTTCCCTCCCTCCTTCCTACCCCCTCTCCCCTCCACCACCAAGGGCACGAGCTCCCTGGGGAGGAACAAACTCTTGTTTTGTGGCGTTGAAAGAATTTCTAGCATGTTTTCGTATGTGTGTTTATATATCTGTGTGAGTTTTGACTCTTGGGTCCCGCCTCGCTACTACCGTAACTTCTTCCTTTTCTCCACCGTTGTGTTGTTATCTTGAGATGATTTCGGGGCTTTAGTGTCCCCGCGGCCCGGTAATCGACCAGGCCTCCACCCCCAGGAAGCAGCCCGTGACAGCTGAGTAACACCCAGGTACCTATTTTACTGCTAGGTAACAGGGGCATAGGGTGGAAAGAAACTCTGCCCATTGTTTCTCGCCGGCGCCCGGGATCGAACCCGGGACCACAGGATCACAAGTCCAGTGTGCTGTCCGCTCGGCCGACCGGCTCCGGCTGTTTGGTCAAACCCGTTCCTCACATACACAGTGGAACTCCCAGTTAAATGAGTACTTACCCGTCAAACACACACCGAAACTACGACGTTGGTACAACGTTCGAACAAGTTTTAACACCACCTAACCAATTATAACAATTAATATAGCAAGTTGTAACAACGTTCTAATACGTCATAAACACGTTAAGCCAAGATGTAACAACTTTATTACAAGTTGTAACAAGCGGAAAATAGAGACAGTTACGGTTTGAGTTTGGCGGGAATTGTGTATATTTTGTCGACTCATTCGATCTTGCTGTTTACAATGTTTCTTCGCATTTTAAGCAGTCTATCCTAATCCATTTCCCTCAATTCCTTGTATATAGCGACTGTTGTCTCCTTCAATTGTTCTCATGTGTAACATTTTAAAAGCTGCCCACACCACCTCTTCCCCCGGCCAACACAACCTACCCAGCCCATCTCTGAACAAGCAGTTCCGTCCGTAAAAATAAGTTAATTAAGGAACAGTAATGTTAGATACAGACTTGTGGTCGCGGACGGTAGAGAAGCCGGTCTAACTTAAAACTAAATTGGTGCTCTATATAGTATTGTGACTTTCTTTCTTGAAGTTTAATGTTGTAGAGCGGAAGTGTGGGTGCTCTTGCTCTCTTGCTCTCTTGCTCTCTTGCTCTCTCTCTCTCTCTCTCTCTCTCTCTCTCTCTCTCTCTCTCTCTCTCTCTCTCTCTCTCTCTCTCTCTCTCTCTCTCTCTCTCTCTCTCTCTCTCTCACACACACACACACATAGGGGCGCCGGTGGCTGTGTGGAAAGCACGCTGGACACATAATCCTATAGCCCGGGATCGATTCCCGGCACCGGCGAGAAACAAAAATAGGCAGTTTCTTACACCCTAATACCCCTGTTACCAACTAGATGAATACAAACACACCCGCGTGCGTATTCATTAACTGCCAATCACTGGCATTGTTCCCTTCAGTCATCCGGTCCCTTGAGATGTTGAGGTGAACACCACGTGTTGTTAAGGCAACATCTCCGGCTCAATTCTCCGTTAAGAGTTCATATATGACCCGTGACCCGTGACCCGTGACCCGCACCCACCACTCACACTTATTGTTCGCAACACTGAGTGGTCTTCATGTTAAAGTCCTCTTCCTACTGATCTTTGTTATGTTGTTCTTATTTCTGTATGGTATTAATATTCATAATTATGGTTACCAATTCACCAGCATTACCTGCCACACCCCAGTACCACCACGACGCACCACCACTACCACCATACCTCAGTACCACACCCCCAGCACCATCACCATACCCCCCAGCACCACCACCACACCCACAGCACCACACCCCCAGCACCACCACCACACCCCAGCACCACACCCCCAGCACCACACCCACACCCCAGCACCACCACCATACCTCAGCACCACACCCACAGCACCACACCCCCAGCACCACCACCACACCCCAGCACCACCACCATACCTCAGCACCACACCCACAGCACCACACCCCCAGCACCACCACCACACCCCAGCACCACACCCATACCCCAGCACCACACCCCAACACTACCATCCATAACAACAGGTCTGCGCCTGTCAATACTTAGTCCCTGTAATTTTAAATAACCAGCCCCTTGTTATTACCTTGATAAATCCTTCCTAGAACGCACTTGACCCCTCCAACAATCTTTCTAGTGCAAGTTAACCCTTGCCTGAACCATTAAGACTTGTGCTAGAAAATTTGAGACTTTCCAGAACGTCTGAAGTTATGAAAGAAAGCTATCTACCATTCATACGCCACTGTTGCTCCCAATGACCGGTTTTCCTAGAAAACCGTACGTTAACTGAAAGGAAAAATTCGTTAATGTAGTTCAGTGAAACAAAAATATCTTGACCCATTATCCAGACTCGGCCAGCGAACTGAAAATATCTGAAGTGTAAAGCATTTAGCGATATTTATTTTGCGACGTGTCCTCCAGGCTAGGCTACTTCAAGTAGCAACCGGCCTAAAGCACGCAATTATAAATGTTAGCACA